AATGAAATGAGAGTCTACACCACGTTAGCACCACCGTGGTTGACGGGTGACGCGAAAATTTCAGTATTTTATACCTCTGGATCCCGGGAAATGGAACTTAAAAAAATTACCTTTTAATTCTTTTTATTTTTGACGAAATGAGTAAAAAGAAATTATTAAATAGGTACCCGAATATCCACCTGTGCCCCAACATGGATGAGGCTGAGGTGAGAAAATCTTAAAAATTGGGGACTTTCAGATGACAGAAAATGGCACTTTAATACATAAAAACTAGGAAATTCACTATATCCACCTGAGCCCCATCATGGCTGAGGCTGGGGTGAAAAAATGAATTTGGGACTTTTAGATGACGCGGGAATGGCACTTTAATACTTAGAATTTATGTCAGTGATTTTCTAACATTTAAAAAGGGGCACTTCATTTTTTTTTTTCAACCTCTGAAGGGAGGGTGCTCGGGTACACTGAGAGTCCGTCCCTGGTATCTTCATACAGGTCTTTATTTGTAATATGCTGTTTATAGTTGGCATTCAAGGCGTGTCTGAGTAATCTTGTGTAAAACCCACCAAGTCCTCACTTTCAAGAATAAGTTCGTTTGTTTTTTTGTTTATAGAAATGCCGTAATTAAATGAGGAATATTTGTTTTTTTAAACTCTAGGTCACCTGAGCGTTAGAGGTTAGATTCTCCCATGCAGTGGCAGATTCAAGGGGAACCCAGTCGGCCCGGGCCCCCGTAAATGTTTCAAAATAATTTTTAAAAAATGGAGAAGAAACTGAAAATATATTCAGATCTTGAGAGTGCCATTTCCGGCCATCTGAGGCGACGCAATCTTAATTTTTCTTACCTCAGCCCCTACCATGGTGCGGCTGAGGTGTCTACAGTCTATCTGTGAAGGTCCCTCTTTGGTCACCCTCTATTTCAAATTTCTTGATCCACCACTGCATGGACCACCCCATTTGTGCGAAGGTCAGGCAAAATCCTGGATCCGCGCCTGCTAAAAGCTAATGGAATGGGACTATCTAAACTAGGCCTACAAACGTCAAAATGTTTTATGTAGCCAGTTCTTTTTATATTTAGAAGTCATAATATCTAATCACCTAGTTCAAATGTATAAAAAAAAAAAAAAAAAAAAAAAAACCTCGCACATATAGGTCGGTAATATTGTCTTGTCCTTCAAAAATAATAATTATGTACAACCTGATTTTTTTCGTATATTTTTCTGGAATGCATGCCTTAATTCAATCAGTAAGTTAAATCACTTAGCACGTTCAAGCCCCATCTGAAACCCCACACGTTCAATTAAACTCTTCAAAACCTTCCCGTCACGTCTGACTTTAGGTTACAAATATTTTCTATGACTTTTCTTTATTGTTCTATAAACGTTAGGCAACCATGCGCTATAATACCAATTTGTATCATCAATATAATTAAGTCTATTTTAATTGATATCGACATTACGGTATTATTGTTGTTTTTATTATTGTATTATTATTATTATCATCAGCGCCGTCGTTGTCTCCTTTGTTTTTGTTGCTTTTGCTGTTGTTTTTGTTGTTATTGTTGCTGTTACTAGTAGGCCTACCTCTCTGTTTTTACAATTATCGCCATCATTACTATTAAATGCGTTGGTATACAACCAATATAATTGCTTATTTCCGATATGAACTTTTGGAACAGTGCCATGCAACTACAATGGTGTTGCATCCTAAATATGTAACAATCCGAAGTGATATCACATTTTCTGGCATAATTCAAACATCTTGTCCTGCAGGTTGAATTATTCACCATATTATTAAATGTTGAAGGTAGCCAGCGATTAAATTACTACTTTAATGTTTCGAACGTGCTGGAATTAACAACCGGATCGCATGGGCCCTAACCAGGATGATAAATTCATCGTGAACATAGCAACAGTGGTTTCCGATGCGGGTTAAGAGGTCAGGTACCTGTACATCAAATTATGAGAAAAGACTGGTTTAAAATGTCACTGATTTTATGGACAAACGATGACATTTCGGAGCTATAAAATCTGGATTTTGATACATTTTGAATGGTACGGATATTTGCGCGGAGAGTGGGCGTCAAGTCAATACGTCCTAAGGGATTCTTATGCCTATTAGAAATGTTTAAAACTGTACCACATTAACCACGGAGGTATAAATTTCGACTTCAACAACTAACGGAACGTTTTATCTCTACCAAGCGAGTGCGCAGAAGACCAACATGCTGTTACAAATGTTTTACTAGCGCGAGGTTTAATACACCCAATGTACCGGTACTAATTATATGCTAAATTATTATAAATTGTTATTTATTTATTATTATTATTATTATTATTATTATTATTATTATTATTATTATTATTATTATTATTATTGTTGTTGTTGTTGTTGTTGTTGTTGTTGCTGTTGCTGCTGTTGTTGTTGCAATTTGTTTTAAACATTTATTCCAAAATATGAAATATAAACACAGATTATTGCTAACGGTACTTATACGGATGCATATTATGTAACCTGTATATTGCTTGCCTAATACAGACATGTATTCTGCCAAATATGGCGGGATTTTTTTTTTTTTTAATTACACTTAACTCTCGCCAAATGAAGTGATTTCCTTCAGATGTAACAGCATGTGATGGAATGTCTTGACACAGTTTTCGCTGACTTTAGGTCGATTTAAGGTTAATACAACAAAGCAAAGGACTAAATAAAACTAATTGAAGGCTGTGCTGACATACTGTAAAGCTCTTTATTTTCACGGCCATTTATTTTTGCAATTTTACAACTTTGAACTATTTCACAACCTTTTATTTTCGCGATTTTACCATTTCCAGTCGTTTTTAAACATTAATTACCTAGAATAGGCTATTATGCAGCAGTAACATTCTTGTTGGTTATTTTCAGGTATTGGTAAATAACAACATTACAATAAAATTATAATAATATAATAAAAATATAATATATTTATAATAATATAATGAAATAATAACAATAATAATAATTGTAATATAATAATATTATTATAATACACCTTAGTAGGCCTATTTGTTGTAATTATTATTAAAACTACTACATTGCCTAATCCTTAATACTGATTTCATTAATTATTATTATTATTATTATCATCATCATCATCATCATCATTTTTCTAACAAAACAATAATTGGAGGGATTTATTGGTTTCTCCTTGGTAACAAAGGAAAATCGTGGTAGGTCTGCCTAACATCACAATAATTATGCAAAAAGAGCGGGCAATATCACATATTGACTTTCCTGGAAACCATAACAAAGATGCCGTCGTTGTGGTTGTTAACGTATACAAATGCCCGGAAGGCTGTCACGACCCTTTACATTCTACGCTTACCCAAACCACATAGAAAATAGGCCTACTCTTTGACGAATGCTATTTCTTGATTCTGATGATAAGCCGCCACAGTGCTTTAAAGATCCGTTTGTAAAATTGTGTATTGAAAATGCAAGACAGCATTTAGAAGTAAATATGTTTGTGGTATTGTTGTAAACCTCGTAGAGGCCTAACTGTAATACTTACTGTACTTTTATACAGATTTTTGAATAGGCCCTATCTAAAAACTGGAGGAAAAGGGGCCGTACCGCCCATTTTTACACATCCCCCCCCCCCAGTTTAAAAATCTGTATCACATTCACCGTTCCCCAGTTCTGTCTTAGAAAAATCAGTTCTAAAACATACCAAAATATTTTTGTCCTCCGGAGTCTGACTATAAGAGAAATTAAATTCATGATAATACCAATAAAACAATTATGGCAATACTACTATGAATAAGCAGGGACTTGTTATAACAACTCCATGGAATAAGGTAATTTGTAATTGTTATTACAAAGCCCTTATAGACTTAACAATCCATCGTCCCTAGTATCAAATACTGTAGGCCTATAATAGCCGAATTGATTGACGTCACTGAAATATTATACAACCCGTTATGAAGAAGCTGGAGCCAGCATTTAACTTTGTATTGTATACGGTAAAGTTATTGGCCTAAATTATATCCACCTGTCGCAAAATAAAAGTAGCGCCCTCTATTGTTCTTGTGAAAATCGCACATTGTGTTGTCATTAAAATTTTGCCAACGGTCAAGCTGAATTAGCAGTGATTATAGTTTGATGGTTATGTTGTGGTCTCCTTCCATCTTCAATGGCCGGGATCGCTCTCAAAAACAAATGTGTAGAAACTTAAGAACTAAAGACATG